TATTCATTTGCTTGGCACAAGCAGATTGGGGGCAACCAGCACTTGTTGAAACACAGAAATGCATGGTTGTGCTACTTGGGACTGCTTTTGAGGAGATGAAGACCTTTCTAAAGACATTATTTTTTTCTCAGTTTCATTGCATTGTATGATTAAGAGTACTGGGTGCTAAAATATTGTTAAGCTCACTTGTATGAAATCATCTGAAGCTAAATTTGATAATGCATTTTGTCAGTTTTCCTCATAGAATCGGAGAGATTTGATTGCAATATACTAGAAGAAAATTCAAACTGAGCTCAAAAGGGAAGTATTGTAATTGTGAAAACAGCTCATATATTAGAATAAAATGCTGACATAAGTGTGGGACATAAATCATTTTAATAATAGGATACAGCAGCTCTTGCCATAATTAATGCATTTTTGTTAATGAGTTATTGCAAACTCCTTTCTTCCCATAGTTCTAACAGTCTTGCACATTGTATCTGAGTGAGCTGGGTGATCCTCAACAAATTCAGCTCCTGTGTTTTAATGAGGGGTGGAAGAAGCATCAAAATGTGATGTATGCCAGTGCTTCCTTACTCTCCAGGGGTTAATTTTATTAAATTGTGTGATTTCACATCAGCATTCAATAGAATTCAATTCCACATTCACTTAACTGGCATAAATGTGGTTCTAGATCCCCTTCCAAACATAGTCAAGATTTGGTTAGTACACAATATAACCTTCCCTTACCATCGTTTGCCTGACCAGCTGAAGTCTAGACAAAACTAGTAGCCTTTGACTCATCTTCAGAGTGGCCCCTCTCACAGATTGGTATGCATTTAATAGCTGTTTGGCATAAATATGACACAGATGTGAAACACCTGGTTTCATTATGTTGTTGAGTGCATTAACTCATGTAACTGGCTTCTCTTAGCCTCTTTATGTTGTTTACATTACTATATGAAGGATGATAAGATCATTTAGTTTCCAAACTGAATGTGTTTGTATCAGTTTCCCTTATTCCTCTGGCTCTTAGAACCACAGTATTGTCAGAAAAACAAAAATGAAGTGTAGCCATGTAAAACTGTTTTGGCATCCATTCACATAGCTCAGAAGGAACTGATATAGATCGAGTTTTTCAGGGACCAACATCTCTCATTGAATGTAAAATGAGTGTTTAGTTCTATTGCTGCCTGGCTGCCCTTGCTGTCAGGAGCAAATCGATGTGCAAGAGGCAGGAGCAGAGAATTAAGTCAAAGCATTAACAAGTCTTGGTATTTGCTGTTGTTTCTTCATTTCCTTTTCTCTCAAGCACTTCCTTCATTCCCTTGCCTCTTCAGAAAAGCACATTCCTTTAACATCTTTCTGACCTGCAGTCTTCATGTTCTTCTCACATAAAACTTTTGTTTGTTTGCTTCATTGGCTTTGGAAGACCTGCAGAGCCTCCATCCACAAAGTCCTTTCCAATGCACCCGTTACCTATTGGTGTAAGTGCCTGAGAATATAATACAGTCAAAGAAAAGAGAACAAAAATATTGAAAACCAGGGACCAAGATCATCGATGATTACTGAGAATTTGGACTTTATAGAGAATAAAATAAGAATCACATGTATTCCAGGAGAGGATGGCAGTTGTGCTTCTTCTGTGGTGAAGACTTTGAAGAAGAACCTGCCCAAACAGGCAGTGGAAAAGTGCTTTCATGCTCTGATCATAAATCACCAATATGTATAAACAAGTTTAGATGATGCACAACTGACAAATGTGTGTTACGAGTGTTTTAGAAATAGTGGTTATTTTGAAAATCAAAAGGAAGTCTTAGAAGGAAAATTTCACAGTTTTTCCAGCTATTAGACTACCTCATATCTGAAACTCAAGGCTACTGGGCTGAGTTCATTTTACAAAGCTGTGATATATATGCACACCAGGCAGTACGAAATTTTCACAATAATGCAGTAATGAATAGCTCCTTTCAGTGCATGTATAGCTAGAAAGAGCACAGATTTCTCTCAAAAAGAGATGCATAGTCAAAACTCTTGCTGAAAGAAACAAAGTTGATAGAACTCTTGCAATACATTAAAACAGAAAGTATTCAGGAGGGGACAGATCAACTTTAGAGCAAGCAAATTATTTATATGTTTGGAGAAATTTCAGTAGGTTTAGAAATTCCAGTTGGACAAGCTTGGAGAAGTTACTGTGGATTTCTTAGATTTGTTTGAGCTTTTTCTCTGTTTTCAGTAGTTGTTTTTCTTGTCTTCCTTCTCACTCCAGACAAACTAGATTTTCCCTGCTGACTGTCTTTCAGTTTGTCAGGTTCATAATACCTCCAGTTTTCGATCCTCCCCCTTAAATCTACCTTTGCTACAGTTTCTAATGTCAAGAATTAATCCAGCCCTTTGGAGGGTTGACTTATCTATGGCTCTTCTGTCTCTTTATATCTGTCATGCTGAAGAATGTATTGTCATCCAAAAGTTTTTCTCTTCAATTTTTCCCTCACCTGCCTCTGCTTTCATGTCCAGACTCAGTGATTTATTGTCTTCCTAAAATATATCTTCAGTTCTATTCTAGATATCTGCTAATCTAACTTTTACGTTCTAGAGGGGAAAGAATCACCTTCACAGCAGAGAGAAATGGTTGTAAAATTGCCTTGAAACACATCCATGGAGACAGGGATGGGGAGGAGAAAAGCCTGAAGTCACTAATGCAATTACCTAAGAGCTCAAAGAAAGACCAGGAAAGTATATCCAGAAGGTTTTCTTAACGGGACTCTGCAGTGTGCTAATTCAACACAGTTTCTAGGTGTATGGTAAATTTTTAAAATTACCTCAGCAAACCAGTGCTAATAAAAATTAGTTGTTAAATTATTGAAATGTAGCAAAATTTTACTACCTTTTATGTGCATAGATGTTACTTAAAAACAAGTAAATGAATGAAACTGCTGCAATTCACTGGCACGACATTTACACATTTGCTGGTGGTGTTCCATTCTAGTATCCTTAAATTTTCAATTACTTACCCAGTAACCTATTACCTATGTGAAAAAAAATAGGAATGAGGTCACATTCTTAAGCTATGATAGATTGTACAACTTGTCTCGCTCAGGCAATTTTTTTCAAAGTTTTAATAGAAATCAAGTGTTGGATGTTCTGTTGTCCTTTTAAGAACAAAAAGTCACAAATCATTGTAAAATTAAAGATTTTCTATTAACCACATGCTGTTTCAAAGTTATGAATTCCCGCTTTAATCAAATCAACACTATTGTAAAGTAGTCTTGTATTAGAAACTTGGTTACTGCATATGTACTAAAAATATCATTTGTGAACAACTTATATGTGAGAAATACATGTGAGCAGCAAAGCTGTTTTGTCTACAGAACTTTTCACTTAAAATTTAAACAATGCTTGTATTTCAAAATATTTAGTGAAATTTGTCAATACAAAAACTTGAAAAAAATAGAATATGGCATTTGCGTCACTTACTATGGCTATGTTTGCCTCATAGAGCTTCCTTTTGCAGAATTTGGAAGAACCCAGAAGGATGAAAACATAACAGATTTTCCATCATTCTATTGTTTCTCTTTACAGAATAATGTTTTGCTTTGCTTCGTGAGGCTGACACTACAGTTTTGGTTTTATGATTTTATTTTAAACTAGGTTCAGTGATTTTTGTTGACCTGTGTTTCTGACAGTTTTAAAATCTACCAGTTATGCAAAAATGAACTGTTTATTTTGGAGGAAATCTTTTAAACCAAAAATGTGTGTAACCCTAAGGGTAACATGCTATTGTGGTTAAGTGCCTTTCTTCCTATAGAAATGTTAATTTAATGTAATTTATCAGATTAGGTCTTGATTTTACACTAATAACATGGTTCACAGAGGACGTATTGTACCTCTTTGAATTAATATAAAGTCTATAAAGAGAAAGAAAATTATGTTTTGAATAGCTGCCAAGAAACTGTAGTTAGAGCATATGTTTTCAGTTCAAAAACATGTATGGAATTCATAGCAGCATCAAGTTGAGTCTGCAAGACAGCGTATTCAAGGATTAAACTGCTCTACAGTTCTAGTGAAAACCGTGATAATGCCAGTAAACTTCTGAAAAGGCAGTAAATTGTAGTTATTGGGGCACATAAATTCATCAGAGAATTAAATGTTTTATGTTAGATGAGAAGAAATGTAATTTGTAGAGGTTAAAGACATCAATTTTACATCTCTGTTATTAAGTTTCATTAAAAAAATTAACTGGCATTAAATTATAGAAGATTAGTAACTGAAGTTCATACATGAATCATTGATTCACTACTACATGACTCAGAGCTGGTAACAGGAAGAAGTATTTTTACCTTCAGTCACCCACTTAAATCCAACCCCAGCCTGAAGTGACTCGACCCTGACCATCTGACATCTGTTGGGTGTTCAGCTGTGCGGTGAATCAGTGGGGAAAGTACAGGCAGTGGACAGGTGTAGAAAACCCATCATGGTAGGTGGCCGTGGCGGGAAGTTAAGGATTACATGAGTGTCATTTGAACCAGCCATTACTGACAAACCTTGGAGAAGAGCATGTCGTTTCTTTAGTCCCTGGTTCACGAAAGGAAGATCAATCTGCCCATGAATAAAGAACACAGAGCCATAGTTGGGTGTCCTTGAAATTTGTGAATGGATGTACAGCCAGGTGTTGCCAATGCTAAGAGAAACATTCAAACTGCAGATGATCCTGTCTACAGGGGGATTTTGAATTATGTTGGCAATTATCAGTAAGCCCTTTTCTGGTGTGGGTAAGATTTGAAAGCACTGGGTGGTTCAGATGTGGCAGTAGTCTTAGATGTATGGGTCTAATGCACTACTCAGGAGCCCTCTTTTACTCTCCTTTATCATGTTGTCTTCAGCAGGTGGGGTGGTACATTTATTAAATTAATTCTGGTCCTACAGCTCTTCAGCGGACCCTCATATGTTATTGTTAGGTTGTTAAAGTGGTTTTCCTTGCTACAAGAGAGATTTACAGCTCTATTTTTTTTATTTTACAGATAACCATTCAGAGGGACAGTGGTTTGGATGTCAGTTCCCCCAAACATGGAAAAGTGGATCCAGACAACATGCCACATGTTGGTGGAAATACATGGGCTGGTGGAACAGGTTTTTCATGCTTTTTTTTTTTTTTTAATGCTTCACTGAAGGATGTCTAAGAGAGATCCTGTGCCAGTCAAAAATGGATTTGTACAAGACCCACCTCTACTTAGAGCTATTTTACTCAGTAGAGGGTTGCTTTGTTGACAATGAAAAAAAGCACCTGCAGTGTCTAACTTCAACTGTATGTAGTGGTTCTCTACTTCAGTTACATTTTGTTGTAGTTTCTTTCCATCGTCCATATAGAGAACCAGAAGATTGCAGCCATAGAAACTAGGCTGAGTCATCTGCCATTCTCTTAGATGTCTCTGTAGCCGCAGCAATTTAGGTAGTATAGGCAAGAGGCACACAGAATAGGCAAAGTGCCTCCTAATTCTGAAAGAGCATGATAATGATCACTTGATAAAGTGGTACATTTTGGGAGAAGAGAGATTTTGAATGAATGGCTCTAAGGACCAGGAGCTTTGAGGAGGTGTACAAGACCTTACATGGTCTAAAATCCTCTTTGTACACGGTGGAAACCATTATGAATCTGGTCTCAAGGGACTATAAAAACAAGAATTCCATGGGTGTTCTTTTTTTACTGTGGTAGCTGCTTGGTTTTGAAAATCTTTGGCAAGAAATATTTCTACTGTGGATTGTTGGTAATTTTTTTGGAACATCTGTAGATATCATAACAGAAGCTTTAAAGAAAATGCATTCTTACTTATTGTTGAATGCATATTTTTAATTATTTTTTATCTCAATCATGTTAGGGGGTAGAGACACCGCTGGGTTAGGTGGCAAAGGTGGGCCATATCGACTGGATGCTGGCCACAGGGTTTACCAAATATCTCAAGCTGAAAAGGATGCTGTTCCTGAGGAGGTTAAGAGAGCTGCTCGAGAGATGGGTGAAAAGGCCTTTAAACAGAGGTAGTGTGAAAGTCTTTATTTTCCCTTCCATTTCCTGAAAGAATTTGAAAAAGATGGCTAAAAAGAATTTTCTTTCTTAACTGCATTTATCAACTACCTTACCCTGATCATTATCATTTAACAGAGCTTACCAGTATGTGTTTCACTGTTCTGGACAAGATGTATAGAATGTTTTATTGAATTAAGCCACACTGTTAAAATGACTATATGATTTGGTAGAGTAAAACGTAACTAGATGGATGAGGAGACTGATGTGAATATTGATCTTTTTTAAAAAGGGATCTACCATCTGGAAATTTCTTTGAATTATAATGAATCCAGATTGTATGTTGTTAGGAATTCATCAGCTAACAAATGTCTTTCGAAATGGACCATTACAAACAAAGTGCTTCTGTTTGAAAGACCTATAGCCAAACGGAGAGATGATTTGAACTGTTAGAGCTCAGCAGAGACTTTTAGACAAACCACAGATCTTCCCAGCATTAGTGTAATGCATGGTTACTAATCAACTATTTTCCAGACTGTGCACAGAGATTCAAATTTCTTCCACCAACTGAACTCTGAAGTCAAACTCTGGTAGTTTGCATAAAAAAGCCAAAGTCATACCAAATGACTTGTACATTTCAGCTCAGGACGTACTGCAATGTGAGTATCTGTCTGAAAGTACAGAGTACTAGACACAGATTAAAGATCAGAGCAAATAAATTTAGAAGCAGCTTAATCATATCACATTTTGTTGCTATTAACAAAGTGATTCCCAAGAGGGGGCAAATGCGGGTGCTATGAGGAGCAGGTGAGATTGCCATTTGCTTCAACCGATGTATAAATAATGAGGCTGTTAAGCGTAGAGCACACACTGGACATGAATCACTGTATTTAAAACCAGCAATTTATCTATTTAATTCAGTTCAAATTTATTTTTAAATCATGTTTTTATTACTAAAGTACCTGGAGCATTTAACATGCTGTTAGAGCATTACTAGTTAATAAAGATTGAGAAAATGTATGGGTTATGTCAGTGCTTCAAAGGTAAAGACCCTGAAAGGCAAAATTCCTTTTAATGGTGAATTAATTTATACAAGCAACATACAGAAATTTAAATTAAAAATAGTCACTTAAGGTTTTGTTTTCAAGGGAAAGGCAAAGCTTGTTTTGTCTTTTTTCTTGGTGCTTTCTGGGGATGGGTGGGGAGGACTACTTTTAACCTTTTCTACATCCTCATTCTTCAAAATTGCTTAATCAGTTGCATTATAATAGAAACAATCTATATGTATGGCCTTGGATACTGTACATCTCTTTGTGCATGTGCACATATATACATATGGCATGCTTTAATGAGTTTCTCCCTACCTGTATGGTGGTTTGCAGAGTTAGTGTTAGAAGACATTCCTGGATACTGCTGCGTGTTGTGGAAATGGTGCAGCTGTGTCCTGTAAAATCTGAGTATCTGTACATGAGATAACAATTCATGTCCTGCTAAAACCAGTGAGCTGGCGTATGCCAGCTGTAAATGTAGCCTATTCTGAAGCCACATTTTACTTGGATTATTGTTCTGTATTTCTTGGATAGTTGTGGGAACTAACAGATAAAAGTTAGGAATAGGGAGGTTGGAGTCCTCAGGTTGAAGAAAAAAATAAGGGAGACTGCGGATTTCCCAGCTTTGTTTACACATGATTATCTGTAAGGGAAGATTTTAATATGAAAGCTATTGATTGCTTTCCTGGCTAGATAGTACTTCTAGTGGAAAATATTTTAAATTGCCCTATTTCACTAGAAAGAAGTTAGCAACTGCTCTTGAATGGATGCGGTATTTTTCATGTTATTTTTCTGAATCAGCTTTCACTGTGGATTGGTGTAGTCTAACAAAATAAAACTGCATGTAAGGGTTTTTTTGTTTGAAACAAAATGTTTTCTTCATTGATGTGAAGATACTGAACTCCATAGGCAGGATCCATGAAATTAAGTGTACAGCACTGAAAGTTTCCTTTTTGTGCCTCTTATGAATGCTAGCTGGCTATAATGACTATGTCTATGCAAAATTCAAAATAGAAAAAGACATAGTCATACTAAAGACAGCAATGATTTGACGTTTGATTTTCATATTATCATTAAAGGGGTAGTATAATGAGAAATTCTCATGTATACTGTATGTTCCAGGCAAGTAACTTGCGATGGTATTGAAAAACTTGTCAGTAGAAATATAACTAATCTATACACACTTTACTATCCATTCATAGTTAATTTAAAAATCTGTATTTTCAAAACAGTGTGAGTGAGGTTATGCTGTTATGAAGTGCTTGCATGAAAAGAGCTGTACACAGATAGACCAATGTGTTTTAGCTCAGGTTTAACTCTGTTTTTATGGTACAGATGTTGCACTCTGTTAGGCATCTGAACAGGACAGTGACGTGACTCATTTTTGTGGAGGAGCACGTTTTTGTTAATGTTCATTTAAAACTTCTTTGTTTCAAGGATTCATCATTTTATGAAGCACAAAGATAGGTATTTGAGACAGAGTTACTAGTTGTAGATCTTCAAGGACAGATTTTATAGTGTGTCTTTACTTAACCTTTGTGTTACAGCATGGATCATTATATGTTTAAAATACTCCGACGGTGAAGTAATGAATAGACACTTATGATCCTTTTGTGTAAAGATAGCAACACCTGAGCCAATAAAACCTTTAGAATTTGATCACAGTTTTCACAACATCTAGTTTACTTCCCAAAGATTAAAGCAGATTAGGAGCGAGACAAAGGATTAGTAACTTTAATGTTTTAATGTGATGCAATCCCTGTAGACATTGGTGATCACTGTCTTGTCAAAAATGCACAAAAGCGGCAGCCACTTCTTTGATTTGTCTCTTGTGTCTGGTTATTACAGTCTGAATTTCCCTGTTATTGAATAAATAAACTCATAATTTACATATCTAAATGGATTATATGCTTGTTTCCTAAACTGTTCTTAGCTCCTTCTTCTTTGCCTTAGATTGAAAGAGATTCAGATGAGTGAATATGATGCATCAACTTATGAAAGGTTCTCTGGAGCAGTCCGACGTCAAGTTCAGTCACTCCGCATCATCTTAGATAATCTTCAGGTAATCTTAGATTCACTGATAAAGGAATATGGTGAGCTCATTACATTAGGCCTCAAATACTATCCTGCCAGTATCCTGTTGGCATCTGACGATCATACCTTTGAGGGCTAAAAGCAGATCCAAGTTATAATCGTGGCTAGGAAAAACAGTCTCATATTACTATTTCAAAGACAGCTTTTGACATGTCTGATGAAAAATATTGCTGTTGAAGGCTACCAACCACTGGTATACATATAACTTAGTCTATTATTTAGTCACTGTTCTGTGTCTGATCTGTCTCCTTACTACAGCAATAAAACTGAAATATAGAAATAAATTATTTTGTGTGATAGACAGACTCCTCCTGGGTCAGAAAATCCAATCCCCTGGTATTGCAAGTTAAAAAGATAACATTCTTTTTTGCCTGATTTATGTCTTTAAGCCATTGTGACTATGACAATATTACCATAATCACATATATACACAGGGAACCATTAACTGGTTTTATTATGAATGTGTCAATTCAGAGAGCTCTTCATATAATTAACATGTAAGATGGTCATGATTAGGTGATTCATGCACCTAATATGTGTTTCGGTTCAGGACATAGACTTTTAGCTTTTAAAGACAGGTTTCAGTTGAAAAGTTTTAGATATAAATCTCAGGTTTTCCTACATCATTTGTATCTACATGCTTTTTTTTACCATGTTTCTAGCAGACATGCCATTGGAAGCACACTCTAGGTGTGAAGTGAATAAGTGAATCTTCAGTTTGAAGTCTTTTTTCAGTCTGCCTTGTCTATTCCTTGGAGACAAAATTCTTACATTCAGGGATCACATTAATCATAATCAAAATATAACATACTTTAATATAATGAGACATATGCTGTTGCTTTGTTAAAAAGGTCATTTTAATATCAAGGCAAAGTCTTATAAGCCTCAGTATTTTGTGAGATTTTGCTAACTTCCTGGCAAAATCTGCAACAGCTAACCACAAAGCTAGTAAATGTGCTTTATGATGAAAAACTCAGAATTTGGAAAAGCTAGCTCATAGAATAAGAGCAATATTGAAAGCAAATTTTTAACTTTATAAATTTTTATAAAGATTTTGATAGGTTTTTTTATTAGAAGGTGCACTAGGAAAATGAAGATAAATGATAGCAGAAGTTACTTAGTTGCAAAATGCTTGCTGTTAATTGGGAAGCTGAGTCCAAGCACATTTCACGTTATCTTTTTGAGAAAAAAAAAATTATTTGAATTCTTCGGCATGGTAAGTCATTCAGTCCTCATGAAGGACTATGCCTCTGGCTCCCCTTTTTTCTGTATAGTCCTGTGTACACCATGGATTCTTAGCTCAAACTGTTTTCTTTCTGTTATCAGTCAGACATTCCTCATTTTTCAAATAAGAAGTCAATGGCACAGTCAATTGCAGTAAACTTTGCAGCTGAGATGTCTGTGTGTTTTTAACTTTGTGAAAATCCCAAATTACCTTCTCAGCAGAGAACACTTTTGGCTTTTTAAAAATGCTTTGCGTTTGCTTTGTTCAAGCTCAATGTTCACATAATGGAAGTATATTTTCCATGTTTATTTAACCTGGATTTTCTTTTCAACATATGCCTTCTTATTGTTAGGTTTGTGGATTTTTTTTAAAAAAATATGTTCCTTTGATTCAATTTTACATCCCAAGAATCAAGAGTCTGGGATTCACGTCCAGTTGTCAATGGCTCACAAAAATTAGTTGCTGCAGAAAGAGATGTTTGGAATAGGCTCATCCTTGAAAGTGACACATAAATACAGTCTGAGAATGTAATTTTGTTGTTCATTTTACCTTGCATAACTCACTGATCTCTGCCAGCTCTTTGAACAACATTAGCAAAACATTCTGAGTTGTTGTTTAACTTCTGCAGAAGTAGCAAAGCCAGAAGTCCAGGGAATCCAGTCAATGATGAGCTTTCTTCTCTCTCCTAATGCTGACCAACTCCTGAGTAATGCTTGTCTATCTGAACTTCAGATTCAAAAGCTTATGATCAGTCAGTGACTCAGAAAGGTCTTTTTAGATTTTGGATGACTTGCCTTCCAGAAAGTATTTCTCTTTTTATTGATTATTACAGAGGGAATCTGGGGCGGCTGTCCCTGTAGCTTCTGAGCATCGTTTAGGCACCTGCATTTAAACTGGGCAGAGCTGAGCCTGAGTCACTAATTTAGACTGTGTGGGAACTGTCTGGTCATAGCAGCAAGAATAAAATAGTGGCAGCCCTGTAATAAACATGCCTCAGAGAGCTGACGATGCAAAAAACTCTGTGCCCCCTCAGCAGTAGTTTTCTGATTTCAGCAGCTAAGGGAACATATGCATAACATTTTCCCAGAAACAAATGCAGACCACAACTGGGAGTATTTCATACCATCCTATACCATTGCAACTTATATATTTAGATGTAGTCACTTCCTATACACAACTTTTTCTGTGATATTTACAGACATCACAGTTACACTTTGTGTGTTTTTTTGTAAATATGCCTTTGATATCTTTCAGTTTGTGATGGGTTAGCCCTTGGCTGGGGGCCAAAACCACACACCCACTCACACAATCGCCCCCCCAGCCGAGGATAGGGGAGAAAGTTAAAGGGGTAAAGGGAAAAAAGGACTAGTGGGTTGAGATAAGGACAATTTAATAACTAAACTACAATAATATTGAAAATAATACTATATACAAATGTACAAATGAGGGATACCCAGTGATACTGCCCCCCCACCTGATGACCAAAGGCTCAGCCTGTTCCCAGCTGACGATCCCGGAGCAGGGAGAGTCCCGAAACTACACTCACGATTCGCCCAGGCAGGGGGTGCACCACTCCTGGAGGCACTCACGGAACGGAGATAACAGGCTGAGCATCCCAGACCGAGAGCTGACCGGGGTGTGGGGGGGAAAGGCCTTGAGAGAGCGGCCACCTGGGGCGAGATGATCTGGAGCCAAGAGAGATCCGGAAACTAAAGGGACCCAGAACAAAAAGGGACGATCTTCCAGAGGGTCCTCACCTATATACTGGGCATGACGTGTATGTTATGGAATAGATTATTGGCTATTCTGAGTCTCAATCTGAACCTGAGATCAGATCCTAGGCTAGTAACCGAGCTGTGTTTCCTCCCTCGTCTGCCAACCTTGGCAGCAGCACAAAACATCGCTTCTTATCAGCTTTCTTCTGAGCACAAATCCAAAACACAGCCTCTTGCTAGCTATTATGAAGAAAGTTTAACTCTGTCTCTGCTTAACCCAGGACACAGTTAAAAGAATTCCTGCAGTGGTGTATTGTGATCAGCCATTGCCATGCTGATAAGATATGGTATCTAGCTCATTTTTCTAATTTCAAAAGCAACACAATGAATATGTATGGAATATTTTGTCTTCGGTATGGTCACAGCTTATTGCAATAGTAATGGGTTGTATGCCCTTTCTAGTAAAATATCAAAACAGGGTATATATTGTGAATACTTTTAAACTTATTTTGCTTTTAAGCAAAGAATATAGTGAAAATTATATATTGAAAATGCTTTGAAGCTTTTCTGTAATATATATGTGCATTGTATAATACACATGCTTAAGGGGATTTTTTTTCAGTTTTTATAAAATGAAATAAATTCTTATGAATTCTGCATGGGAGAGGCAGATGGTAAGTTTTGGAAAGAGGTTAGGTCAGATTTTGTTGGCATTCTTTCCTGTTTTAGGAGGGAATGTCAACTCTGTGTTTCTCCAATAAAATTTCAACTCAAGTACTGGCTTTTGTTGCCTAAGCTTCAAAAGGTATTCAATGGTTTTTAACTATGTCCATAAGTTTAAAGCAATTTGCTTCTCACACTGCTGTTCCTTGAACAGAAAATACCCACAAAGCTAAAGCATGATCAATTAAAACAGTCATGAAACTAGTTGAGAATTTGCTCAATGAAGCCCAAACTTTATAATCTGTTGTTTGTCCCTCCTGCCTGCTGAAAGGAAGCAAATAACAAAAATTTGACAAAACAGAAGTCCTAAGGAAGTGTTAAGGATCTACCTCTGTTCCAGTACTTATAGTGGCTAAGATGACTAGGAACAAAGTCATTTCATCAGCATCATCTTGAAAGGTGCATGATTCATTGCAGACAGGCTCTGCTCACTCGGCAGCATGTTGCCTCCAGGAGCATTTTTTTAATGTTTAGTTGGAGTGTTGTTGAAATTTGCCATGGGTTATCCTACTGTGTATTTCACATCAGGAAAGCTCCTATAGCGTGACATTTTGGTGGAGCATGTAGAGGTCACTTGGAATTTGCAGGTATCTTTTTGCGCTGTTACATGACTCTCTGGGGAACAAAGGAATTGATGATCCTATGGAAGAAGGAACTTCACATTTCATCCCAAGAGTATTTAATAATAGTGGAAACTCCTAGTTGGTGGTGCAAACAAACTCATAGATGCCCCACTGCTGAAGTAGGTTAAAGCTAGGTTAACTGTAGCACCATGAAAATGTATCAGAGGGCACAACTGACTGAATTCACAATGTAAGAATTTGCACTTTCCCCTTCTGGGATTTCCTAAAAGGCTGATGTTTCCATGTATTGGCATTGTTTTTGCCTCCCATCAGGAAGCATCTGTAAAGCTTTTGACACTACCTAACTAAAAAAAAACTGTGTTTGTCACAGTTATATAAATTCTATACTGTAGAAGTAATTAATCAAAACATTTTCCTTGTGTCTTTGTACTCTTTCTGCCCACTTATTTTCATAGGCAAGTAGTCCTTAAGTCTTAACTATAGGCCATAGACAGTAGTTTAGAACTCCTTCTTCCATGCACATCAAAAAGAAAAACTCATAGATTTTGGCCAAAGCAAAATCAAGGATTCTCTGAGCCTTAAGAAGCCGTCATCTGACTGCTCAGACTGTTCAAAATTATAAAGATTCATCCTCTCAAATCCCAGGCCTGCAGTTTACTGGGGATTTGTAATGTAACACTTCCTGCTCATCAGGGAGCAACTGATTTTCATTCCTGAGAACCAATGGGCAAGGCAGTTTGTGTCCTGCTGGATATTTGATTTTCTTCCAGCTGCTGACCAGCAATTTGCTGAGAGTGCAAAAGCACTATACATATATAAATTTAAAATCTTTCCTTGCTGGGCTTACTACTAGGATGAGCAACTTCAACCTGAAGATTTAAGCAGAAATGAAATAAACCATGAAACCCATCTGTGCAGACTTTACTGTCTTTAGATGGATTTTATATATTATGAGCCATGATGTAGCTATCCTTTGAAAACATTCTTAAATATGTTGCTTATAATATTAAAACACTTGAGTCTTCAATCTTAACTGCTTGCTTCTATGTACAGGAGTTCCATGAATATTTGAGTTCTTGGATTGTAATGCATCTTCATCAAGTCAGGCTGTAGATAACCAGTGTCCTTTTAAATAAAAGAAAAGAAGCATTTAGTGGACTGTCTCTTGAGTATTGCAGTTTTCAAGGTATTTTAAAATAGAAAAATAGTTTATTGTTAATATTATTTTAAAAGAAACCACTTACCATTACCTAAGGTGAATACTACTTAGTTTTACCTTTAAGTCATCCAATGTTTTTTTCTTGCACTGCTTGGATGGAGAACACATAACAAATGGTCAGTTATGCATGTCCCTCTGGTTTTATCTATTTCTGCACAGGCTTGTTACACAGATTTCCAGTATATTTGCAAGAAAAAATGTTAACATTTCTGCAGTCCACAGTTAAAGTCCCGTATATGAAATAAATTTAAAAACACAAAATTACAGAAGGAACATGTTATTTGTCAGTGTTAATTTTTTCTTTCAGAGAAAAAGAACAGGACAGCCATGAAAATACATTTGGTTTCCTTCGACTTGTACTAAAACTATCACATCATTGCAAAGAAAATTCATGCTTATGTCATGTTCATCAGATCTTAAACATACAATCACTTCACTGAGTGAATTAAGGTTTCTTTTCTGTTATAGGCCAAGGGTAAGGAAAGACAATGGCTGAGACACCAAGCTGTTGGAGAGCTAGATGATGCCAAAATCATTGATGGACTGACAGGAGAAAAAGCCATATATAAACGACGGGGAGAACTTGAGCCACAAGTAAGTATCCAAAAAGTAGAAGAGAAAGGTGGGGAAAAGCTTAAATGGTTTGCTGGTTTTATAGTGGTTGTACAACATCTCTGTTTGGAGTTTGAGTAAGTTACAGGGATGAGAAGCTCAGAAGAATCATCTCTGGCTTGGGAAGTCCCTGGTACAGGGGCAACCACAGGATGGAAAATTTGCTTTACCTCTTCCATACTTATTATCTGTTGGCCACTCTCAGAGATAGGATGCTGACCTAGGCAGTGTTTTGGTTTGATTCAATGCAACAGTTTTTATGTTCTTATCTTATATTTTAATGAGCTGAAGTCAATTAGCAGAAAACACTTGTTTGTTTTTCTAAGAAAAAGGAAAATATTTTCTCACTAGTTTAATTTAATTTAATTTTTGTTAAGAAATACCCTGATACCTTAGGAAATTTAAATAAAAAATAGTGTTTTACAAATGACTTCTCTTTATTCCATGATATGCAAAGAATTTCAACTTCCACAGATTCTCAGATTTACAACAATAAAAATTATAATGTGAAAAAAAGTGTGAGGAAAACCCATTAAGATACTATTAAAGTTGTCCGTCCTATGGCTCAATTCAGCCATTCCTTAGAAGACATTATGGTTATTATGTGAGACATTATGTGAGTCACCAACAGAGAAACCACTTGAATCAGACCAACAAAACCTGGCCAAAACTGGTAGGGATAGTCCATAATATTTAACAGTAATACTTAATGACAGATTGCAATTTTTAACTACACGAATAATAATTTTTTTTTAATAGTTGAGTAGAACATCTTTTTACATGTCAGCTACCCGCATCTGATGAAACCCTGGTATTATTTTTTATGCTACTTGGACCTGATGTCTGTTGCTTTGAACAGTTTATGGAACTTGGCACTGTGTGAAAGATCAATATGGGAAAAGTGATTAGATCTTCATTTATCATGTTTTTCAAAATGTATTTATTCCATGTATCAATTTTAAGGCTTTGTAAAAATAGTTCAATTAGGAAAAAAAAGGACACCTTTAATTTTTGAATAAAAACCAAAATAAATGTAGGATTTAATGGACCCTCTCTCTCCCTTTGTTTTTGGGAGGACAGAGATGCCACAGTCCATTAAAAGAATGATTAAAAGCATAAAGCACACAAATTCTTGCAACTCTTTACAGCTAAAAGAAATATTTTATTTATTTGGTTTTAATATGACTGGTTTTTTGCTAGATTGTCTTTAATAGCCTTATACTTCAATCCAGACTAATCTCATTGCACACTAAATAAAACACCTCCCTTGAATGTACTGTGCCAAAAATTGTTAAAACATATGGGGATTGTTTTCAGGAAAAAATAATGGTTTCAGCATCAGAATAAAGAAGAAACTAGATGAAGTTTTCAAATATTTTTGGAATGTTATTAACCTCAGCAGACAAGTTTTTACCGTCTTATACAGGTCCCTGTTAGTACCATAAGCCAAGGAAAAGCATTTCCATTATAAGCCTTGGCAGAAAGAGCAAATCTGAGTGTCTCTTTATTGAAATAAAATGTTAAGAATCAAAACTGAGACAGAAAAAATTATTTTCCTGACAAGCATGTGTGGAATTTTTTGAGGTATTTTGTTTCCTTGAAGGTGGGGGGAAAGACTGAGTTGAAGTATCTGTCAAGTAACTGGTTTGAAACAGTTAGAAAAAACGTTAAAATGTTTTTGTTCTTTTTTTTCTAAATAAACAGTTTTTGCTGGATAAAAGTTCCTTGCTTCGCAGTGTGTTGGTTTCTCTTTCTGAAATGTTTTATCATTACTGATGTTTAGCTTTCCCATTTATATTGTTTTTTTTTCTGCTATTTTTTCCCTTACAGCCTGGGAGCCCCCAGCAGAAACCTAAACGCTTGCGCCTGGTGGTGGATGTTTCGGGTAGCATGTACCGCTTTAATGGGGTGGATGGACGACTGGAACGCTCCATGGAGGCTGTCTGCATGGTCATGGAAGCTTTTGAGAATTATGAGCACAAATTCAAGGTAATTACAGCTGGGCTTGGAGCTTTGTGGTTATTGCACAGGCTGTGTGGAGCAGTGGAAAAGGTGTTTCAGCAGTCAGTCTAGCCAAAGAACATTATTCATTCCTGCAAGGGAATAAAGACATTAATCTATTTCTAACAGCCTGAAAAATAATACTAGTGAATGGATAAGAAACATTACATGCTTCAGCAGGGAAGTGAAATTTGCTGCCTTTTTCTGTATTTATCTTTTTATTTGTTTCTTTGAGCAGAAGTGCTTATGCTTACAGAACACAAATAAATATAAGCTTCAGGACATGCAAAGGCGTCCTGCCTTTCCATTTGTCCAGAGTACAGACAGCAGTACTTTGTCACAGGAAAAGACCAAACTTCTTTGTTCTTTACTTGTGTTCTCTTCCAGTTACCTGAAAGCAAGAAAATAATTTCTTGTACTGAAAGATATTAGGTTCCAAATGCAGGCTCCAAAATGGTAGCCTGCAAAGGAAATGTAAATAAATTTTATACACTTTTTTGTCTCAGTAAGACTAAACAAGGTCTAGGGTATGTTTCTTTAACCTTAAAAATGACAGGAATGGCCAGTTATTGACAAACTCAGTGTTTAATGGAAGAATAAAGATGTCCAATGCCTTTACTGAAGAGCTTCTCAAACATAAGACTGAACAAAATGTAAAATCTCCTTACAGAATTCATAAAAAACTTAGCCCACATCAATTCAGACAGGTCTCCTTCATGTTGTTCCTCCAACAGCACAATCCTACAGATTACTGTTCTTCTGTAGAATCTACTGTACAAAACCAGGCCATGCAGAGGCACGTACTGCTAGAATGTTTGTAAAGCACAATCATGCAGACCTCCATTTGTTGGGGAAAAGAATATAGAAAGGAGACAGGCATTATGTTTTTAGCTTACTTTCCTAAGGAAACGAGGCATGTGCTACCATACTCTCTGGCAGTAATGCCTTCTTCCCTTTAAACATGGTTAAACAGAGTATGTTGCACAATTTCAGACAGATTTGAAACCGTGGTTTTGTACCCAAAGACACTAAATTCTTGCAAATGTCATGGAAATAGGCCAGGTAGAGAGTGAAGCTCTGTATTCTTGTTGGAGGAAAATGCTGTGACCAAAAGCTTAGACCTTAGCCCAGAGAAGCCATGTGGGAACTCAACTGTAATTAAGAAAATCATGGGAAATGAGGGGTTTATTGGTTCAGCTGCTCATGTATCTCATGCTCACTGCTAATAGAAAAGTTAATGACAAATATTAACAGGGGCATGTAATTATACAACACAATTTGTGTAGCTTGGTGAACCAGGCATATCTGAGGAACACGCATATTAGTATGGCCAAATGCAGGATCATCCACAAAGGAAGACAAAATAGAAGTAGTGGACACAAGGATAAATATGACATATTAGGGTATAGCCAGCATGGGTTTTGTAAAGGGAAGTAATGCATTCTGAAGAGTCTCCGAGTATGTGACAAGCAAGGTTGATTGATAGAGTCTCCTTACGCATTTGACAGAGTCCCTCACCTGAGGCTCAGGGAGAAATGATGCAGCTTTGGGGATGAAGGGGAGAGCCTTCAGATGAATTAACTACTGCTAAAAGTACAGAAAACAGGCTGAGTCATCATTTTTTAGAGTGAAGAAGTGAAGAACTGTGTCACTGGTGGAACTGTGTTGGGATTTGTGCCAGAGCCATGTTGTTATGTCATTCTGTATATTCTTAAGTCATCTTAAGTAAAAGGGGATGAATAGTGAGGTGAAAAAATTTGCTGGTGGTACGAAGTTATTTGTGAAAACAAAAGGGAAAATCCAGCTGCAAGAAGTTGAAGAAGGACCATGAATGGTGACTGGGAAATAAAATAGTAGATGGTATTCAGTGCTATTAAATGTAAAGTGCTGCAGATGGGAGAAAACTATTCTGATTTCAAATACACAGTGAGGACGTCTCGGCTATCTGATGGTGCTCACTCTCAGCTATATATTAGTGCTCAACAAAGAAATCTTGTAATTATGCTGTATGCTTCTTTGAGCACTCACTGCCCACCAGCTGTCAAAAAAGCTAATTGAATGTTAGAGACTTATTAGCAAAAGAACAGAGAATAAAGCAGAATGTCAATGTAAACTTCCATAGTGCATTCACATCAGGAGTAATGCATGTAACTTTGGTCCTCCATCTCACAAAAGTTCTTGTAGAGCTGAAAAAGAAGAGAGGGTGACAAAGATTACAAAGGGTGTGGAAGTACGTCTCTACAAGCAATGGCTAAGAAGGCCAGAGCTGCTCAGTTTGGAGGAGATGAAAATCAAGGAGATGATAAAAATCTTGAGTAAAATGGAAATGGTGACTAGGGAACAGTTTTTCATTCTGTTCTACTACAGGCATTCTGCTCTTGTTATGAACAACGATTTATTTCACATTTACACAACAGAAGACAGTGGCTTGGAAGGTGGTGACACTGAAAAAAAAGATATAGTGCAGTGGTGGATAACCAGCTGTCCTTAATTCCAGGGCAGCTCTATATCTGAGAACCCAGACGTGACCTTCAGGTGCATGGTAAAGGAATAACATATAGAAGTAGACAGACAGACAGCCCACACTGAAGAATTAGTAAAATCATTAAGAACAGCCTTCAGTTCTGGGATTTTAAAATCTGTTTCATTACTTTTCAAATCCCTCTGTGTCTATTACAGATGATTATATTTTGCTTGGCAATAGCTGCTATTGGCCAGTGTTTTGCCCGGCACACAGATGAAACACTGTATTTGGCCATGCAAAGAGCTCAAAAGGCAGTTAGTTGTAATGGTAAATGTGCCTCTCTAACTACCACTAACCACTTATAAAAACACTTAAAAAACCATGTGCAGTTGTTAGATGTGAAAATTGCCGCTCTTTGATGATAGTAAAACGGGAATAGTAATGTTATCCTTACAATCTCGGAGCTAAAGAGAGCTGTAAGGCAAATTAATGTAACAGTGATGAGGAAGATGCTGGAAATTTTAGTGACATACCAAGGAAGAAAAGTTGTTATCAGCTTCTACATCTGTTCAACTTCAATTGCCTCTGGGGTAACTCTCCTCCCTTTAAGGGCTTCATCCACTGGATAGAGAACTTAGGAGGGGCCAGTTACAGCCCCTTGATTCAAGTCTGGCCAGCTCCAGCGTGAGCTCTATCAACTTCAGAGCTGCTTTTGCCCAAGAGAAGAAAAGTATTTTTCTTCCTCCACATCTGTGCTGCCTGACTGGGATTTGATTTTCTCTAAGCATAGTATCTACAAGAGTAGACCAGAGATGACTAGGACAGCACACAGCGTGAGGCTTTATGTTTCACTGGCCACTGAAGTCATCCCCAAAAGCAAGCACAAATAGAGGCAGTTATTAGCTAGTCATGTTTGAACCATATTCTTACCATGATCCAATGATTAGGCTAAAATATCTCTTTGAGTGCACCCTCAGCAAGTTTGCCGATGACACCAAGCTGTGTGGTGTGGTGGACACACTGGAGGGAAGGGATGCCATCCAGAGGGACCTTGATGGGCTTGAGACGTGGGCCCGTGCCAGCCTCATGAAATTTAACAAGGCCAAGTGCAAGGTCCTGCACGTGGGTCAATGCAATCCCAAGCACAAATACAGGCTGGGTGGAGAATGGATAGAGAGCAGCTCTGAGGAGAAGGACTTGGGGGTATTGGTGGATGAGAAGCTCAACATGAGCCGGCAGTGTGCGCTTACAGCCCAGAAAGCCAACCGTGTCCTGGGCTGCATTAAAAGACAAAGGAGGTGATTCTCCCCCTCTCCTTTGCTCTCGTGAGACCCCACCTGGGTACTGTGTTCAGATGTGGGGACTCGAACATAAAAAAGACCTGGACCTCTTGGAGAGAGTCCAGGGGAGAGCCATAAAATTGGTCAGAGGCCTGGAGCACCTCC